AAAAAAAAAATTAAATCAAAATAAAAAAGTGAGGAAAAAAAAAAAAGGAATCTAGAAGGTTGTGTTTGGTGTACAACATGCCTGTAGTTGTATGTATGTATGAATCAACTGGCCATTTGTTGTTGAAAATTGTTATTCTTAGACAAAGATCTTCTTTACTTGTGTTTGATTGTTCCTAAACATTGATTGTATGGTCTTGTATTATATGTGTTGTTGTTATGTGCTGGTTTATTTGGTGGTGTTTAGTTGACCACAATCAAGGGAAAAACGGGTTCTCGGGTCGACATTCCTTGCCATTTTCTTTTATCAGATTAGATGTCGGTTTTTTATGCATCTTTATTTTTTTTAACATTACACCGGTTTTGCTATGGAGCCGTCGGATGTCGCGGCTTATGGAGCCGTCCATAGTTATCCACAAATGGTGTATTGGCACGTGTATTGCAATAAATACACATTGGATACGTGTCAATACATAAAGTTATGGATGGCTCCATAGAATTAGTGAACATTACACGATGCATTTCTAGAATGGATATATGAATGAAAGTGGTGTTTGTTCTTTTACCCTACAACTGCAAATGAGCTCGAGACCCGTATTGATATATATATCAGCAAATTGAAATAAATAAGTGAAACCAGGCGAAACTTCATGTTGGTGCTTCTTGATTTCATGAAGATGTAACTTTGTTGATGTTTTTATCCGTGCAAAATTATGTTTGGTCCTTTAGCTTCAATAATCTGACTGACCAACACTTGTAATGTCATACACATTGTGCAATGAGATGTGAGTAAGGAGAATAAAGGTTTTCGGCTAGTTATATAATATATTGCCCTCATTAGGTGAACTGGGCTAGAAGCCTAGAAGTGTGAATAATTAAAAAAAAAAAAAAGTTCGTCACTTTTTGAGCTCACAAGCTGAAAGTTTTTATCTTGTGTAGTTAGCTAGATCGAAACATAGCAAAATCGAGTGGTATATGAAAAGATGGGCCAGCCAAATTATTCTTTTTGTTCATTTCTTGCGAGTATCCTCTGGGGTTCAGTGGTATAGATGGCTGCAGATATTTCTTGTTTCATTTTTCGGCTTTTTCTGTAAAATTATTTAGCATTTTCAAATAATGTTAACTAATTTTTAACGTTGAAGGTGTCCCATGGACGGAAGAAGAACACAGATTGTTTCTGGTTGGGCTGCAAAAGCTCGGTAAAGGTGACTGGCGTGGCATTGCAAGGAACTATGTGATCTCGAGAACACCTACTCAAGTAGCCAGCCATGCGCAGAAATACTTCATTAGGCAAAGCAATGTGTCGAGGAGGAAAAGACGGTCGAGCCTTTTTGATATTGTGGCCGATGTGGTACGTACCCATAGCTCGTTTTTTTTTTTTTT